CGAGGTGTTTTCAACACTGCTTACTTGTACTTTTTGCACAAGCAATTCGAGATATGGAGCTTTAAATTTGATATATCGCCGATATTCACATTATCCGATATACACCGCAAGAAGATTAAAATATCTTATTGCTTCCTGTTTGTTATTTAATACTTCAAATTCCATTTCGAGCTACTACTGTGAACTTCTTATCAACAGGGTGCTAAGTTTTGTTATTGACCTATCGCACTTTCGCTCACTGATATATTTTTATATTTTGGCCATTCTTAATTATATTTTTGATCTTTTTTATAATGATCTGATCTTTTTTCTAATTATCTTTCGAAAGAAATTTCGAAAGAATTGGACATAGACATTTGTTTAAATGCAAATAATAGTAATTTTCGACACGCATTTATGCATAATGACATCTACAAAGGAGACATTCAGATCATAAAGCAATTAAATGTTATGTTTAAAAAGTAAAGGATGTACATTTAAAACGATGACGTAAAGTTTTATTTTCCCTTTAAATTGATATTGATAGAAGTTACTATATTAAATCCCCATATAAGTTCTAGATAAATTGAACATCTTCATAATATGTCACATTGACATTGTGATATTTTAGATATCATAACTTTCATCCATATCGTATTACACTGCTCAAAAGTTGAATGATAATGACCATTATCATAGATTATACTTTTGCCAATAGGTTTGTCGATAACTGGGATTCCATTTTTTTCATTTGTAATCTTTTTGGATAAAGTTAATTTGAATAACCGAGACCCCAAATAAATTACTACAATCGTTGTTATTGGTCGAATCGGAATTCCCATTGATTTAAATGTATATTTAGCAATACTAAATCTATTTTCGCTTATACCTTTATGGTTTCCGTGTCGTGCAGACGTGTTTAACAAGAGAAAGAACAGAACTTCATGTGCCCGCTATGTATATATCGTAAATCGACATACGTGCGCAATTTAAAAGCTCATATATAATGTTTATGTTTATGCAAAATAGTGTACAAACCTGTAAATAAATAGTGTATAAATAGTGTATAAATCTGTTATGTGATGATTGACAAGAAGCTGGTTGTCTGTGATAATTATGTCAAAAAAAAAGTCGCCAGAAAGTATGCTTCTCATCCACGTATTCTCTAATACGTGGAAGAGAGGAAGAATTGATGACAATTCAAATAAATTAAAAGGATAAGCCACTTTATTACTTTATTGTATTAAATTTATAAACAAATCGAATATAGAGGTTCTCGTTGTTTAATACAAGTCAAACGCACACGCCAAATAATTATTCGTTCAAACCCACATAGCACATAAAATTGCAACAACATTGCAGTAAGGTTGTAATCTTGCACATTGCAATACAATATTGCAGACACATTGCTCAGTTATGACATTATAAACTTTCCAACAGCAACGTTGCAGCAAACCCTTATAGAAATATCATACTAAGAATCATTGATAATTACTTATTTTCAGTATTAAAAATATTGGATAATAAGTAATTATCAATGATTCTTAGTATGATATTTCTATAAGAGAAGTTTCAGAACCATTGCAAAAATATTTTAATACTATATTTTCTGATTATTATCCAGACAGCACAAAATTTCCAAGAGATGTTTTGAGGACATTAATGCCTACTACACCAATGCGCGTATAACACGCTTTTAATGCGTATTTAATGCAATTAATGTTAGGGTAAACATTTCACTGTGATTTGTTTAAAGAGAGTCGGCAATTGAGTCAGCTTTTGCAGTCGGTAGTCAGATATAGTCTGAAATGACTTCAGGTAAATATTCCCGAGTTAAGGAAAGAAATAGAAGTCATTTTGTCTTGTTTTTATGATTTGTTATGGTAACAAATAAAAAAGTAATAAAAAATTAATATATTTAAAATATTATATATATTGTTGGAGGATATTTTTATGTACATTTTGAAACTTTCATATATATTTTAACTTATAGAGCCGAGACCGTCGGTAACGCAATGTTAACAATCTTGCATAATAAAATAGTTCTGCCTATTTGTTCATATTCATCCCGTATGCAATAATATTGCATTATTGCAAATACATTGTTCCGCAACATTGCTGTAATGATGCACTGTAATCTCTCTGAGAGAGAGAACATTGCAACCTTGCTGCAATTATTCTGCAACATTGTAGCATCGTTGCTGCAACATTGCAAACTTACAATGTAATGTTTCTACAACATTTCTGCAATTATTTGATGCTGTGCGAGAACATACGCAATGAAACCCCATTCAGACGCTTACAGCAACATTGCTGTAACGTTACAATATTGCATATTGCAGTGAAATGTTACAGAGACATTGTTGCAGAGACGTAAATTCGCAAAGAACCAGCAAACCTTCAGCAATATTGCATTAATATTTCAACAACATTGCAAATTAAAAATTTTATCATTTAGTATAATATATTTTACTATTTTATATTTAGTATAACTTATTTTAATTATATTGTAATAAAATATTGTTCCTCACAACATATTAATATTACAGCATAAGATTATAGCATAATTATAGCATAAGGTTATAGAAATCTTAAATTCTAAGATAGTAACATTACACGGAGGTTAATAAACTTGCCATTAACCTTCTAATAACATGGAAATGTTCGTCTATAGTCCCAGATAGCACAGAGAATTAAAAAAGAATTCAGTTATATGCCACTAATTCTGAGTTCATTTTCAGATGCAAAAAGAATTCTTAAAAGTTCAGTTTAGTGAAAAGAATTCTTTTTGTATCTAAAAATGAATTCAGAATTGGTAACATACGACTGAATTCTTTTTGAACTCTCTATGCTATCTGAGTACTCATTCCATTAACATTACAGAAACCTTGTACGGAACACTATATTAACGAGCAATTAATAACAAAATAATTTATACGATATATCTTCAACTAGTCAGTTGATTTTAATGTTGATTTTAAGTGAAATTTAGCTCTATTTGATCTCTTACTATTTTCACATCTGAAAATTTACTCAGTATTAGTCGGACGTAAACTCGAGAATTTCAGATATCTTTATAGGTTTCTATTGTAGTTTATTATCTTGGTTGCTGCGCTACTTCTTCAATTGATACTAAGGCCGGTATTCGTAGTCAGGTCTTATATTTAAGGCCGTCTTAAGGATATATCTGAGTTATTCTCAAAATAGTACCAAGTTGACGAAACTTCGTAAAATTCTTCTTTTGTTATCTGTAATATACTGAAAAAATTTCAAGTAGATTCACTATACCGTTAGAAAGTAATCATTATTTTAATTATGGGTGATTTTACACGTGTTCTTATGAGAAACGCAATTTTCTCGAATGTTACGACTAAGAAAAGTATAGAAAAAATACTACCAAAATTATAATTTTTTTTTATACGTATAGACCTCGAATTACTGGAGTTTTTTTTGCAAAATTGGATTAGTTTTCACAACACGGTTGCAGAGAAATTAATTATTTTTTATAATAAGTTTGCAATTTGTAACAGGTCAATGACAGGTCAATGACTGAACTGGAAAATGCGGCAACGTCGCAATCAGCTGAACGTGCTAAGCGAATAACCTTTAATTCAGTACGATAGTCATGTCATAAAATCTCATTTTGTCTACATTGTTTTTTAGAGGATAAAAATAAAAATTGATTTTGATAAAGAACAGGATAAATTTGATATTAGAGGTTTTCATGGTGTATATGAAAGAAACACATATCGGAAATAGATAAAGAATGTACTCAGTTCAAACCTGAAAACTGAATCTGATAACTAGGTAAATGATATAGAAAAAAAAGCAATAATTTTACAGAATAGCGGCATAAACAATTTTATTATTATATCCACTAGTAACATAAATGATAAAATAATTTAAAGAGAAAACAGAAAATTACTGAACACAGATAAATATAATAAACAATTTTTCAATAATATAAAGATTTATATATCTAATAATATAAAAAGCTAAATACTTTGGTTTAAGTAAATAAAATTTGACTTAGTTTTTTATGATTAATATGCTTTTTGACGGATTCAAATATTTTATTTATCAATAATTCTTGAAGTTTTTGCAGCAATTTATTTTTTATTTTGTTTTGAAGTAATTTAGAAATCCCATCAGTACCAGAAGTTTTATAAGAATTTTGTAGCATATTTATGTCGATTTCAGCTATCGCCAATTTTTTACGTATTGATAGTCCTATATGTTGCAGAGGTGTTAACGTCTATAATATTCTATTCATTTTTTCCAGTGAATTCCAATAATCTATTTGTTCAATAAAAGTCTTTGAATGTTTTAATAATGTCTCTTTCGTAATTTTCAACTTCTGAAAAATTTTTTGCATAATTTCACAATCATGTAAAGCATTGTGTATTCCAACTGTGGAGATATTTCACCAGTTTGCTAACCCGCTAATCGAACATTGACTTTTACCTTTTTGACCAGTAATATTTTTGATAACATTCAGTGTATCAATAAACCCATATATTATTTCAGAAAATTCACTGATCAAACCATACTGTAGGAAATGAAAGGATGATACACAGTTTGTAGAATAGAATTAACAATATATTTAATAACTCTACACAACAATCACATCTGTTCTTCGGTAATAACGCACAATAATTCTTGTTGGAAGGCCACGTTAAGGCCACATTAAGGCCACGTTAAGGCCACATTCCAACACCGAAGCTACTATTACGTGAGAGAATACTGTTTCTTTCCTTCCGTATTTGTCGCACGCAACTAACGAGGTTCTTCGCTTACGAGGTTCTTCCTCTCACTCTTCCTCGCTACTCGCCGCAAGTTTCTATCTCTTTCTTACAGACTACTTCCTTCTATCTCTTTCTCACGGACTTCTCTCTCGGACTTTTACCGCAGACTTCTCTCTCAGACTTCTCTCTGTCTTTACCTATATATTCTCCTTTTTCTTTCCGTAGCGCCTCCTGGCCTAACTAATGCTTTAACTCTCTGACTATAGATGCCGTAACCTATATCTTACAATACTTATTGATAGCTTTTAGCAATCTAGGACCATCAAAAGTAAGATTGTGAGTAACAATATAACACCGTTTTTTAAGGGACTTCAACCAATCTTGTAGACATCCTAAGGCTGCTCTCAGAGGTACTGATTGAACTTTTGTTCCATGGTACAGCAATTCTCCATAGTTACTCGTAAATCCATTGACACGAGTGGCATTCTCGGAAATATCTCGTACGGGATTAACATAAATCGAAAAACTATTTTTGTTATATTTTGCACCAATCTGTAAAATATCGCAATTCATTTTGAAGCCCGAGGTTTCCAAATCCAACAGAATAATAGCGTTCTCATCGTTGTCCTCTTCTGTCACATCCATTTCATAATGTTTCTCGAACTCCACTGCTGGTTCACTGAGAAGAGAACAGTTACTTTGATATGTAACACCCTTTTTCTTTTCTATAACGTAAAGCTGTTCGCAACTTCTTCAGAATCATTCGTCTTTTTTTTGAAAGCAGAAGATGTTATTAATGCTCGTCTCTTTATTATAGTTTTTTGTACTGTTGAAATGTGTTGCGAATGATGTTTACCCGGTGACAAATGTACTTTCTTTGCTATTTCTTGCGTGTAACCTTCCCCGATATTTTTTTGACCAGCAGCACACGCAAATCGAAAGTCGGCGGACGCAGACGTACTGTAACATCTAGATTTCGGGGCTTTGCTTGCCATTGTAGCATTGAGACTTTCATTAAAGTTGCTAGATGCACCTGTTGAATACTTTTCTGCATTGTCAGCTAGTTTATGAAATATTTCCTGAAGCGCTGATAACAGTTGTGGATCATGAAATCCTCCTGGTATTATTTTATGATCATAGTTTTCCGGATTTTGAATAAAACCACACCATAGTCCGCATTTACTGTGATCATTAAGGGTGTATATCAGTTGGACACGGGGCAATTGGACACAGTCCAATCACAAGTCGCTGTTCCAAGGGACCCTACAAATGTCTCTAATCACACGGTGCTATGATTGGCTGTGTCCAAATGCACCGTGTCCAAGTGCACCGCTCCCGATCATTAAACGCATGGAGAGGAATGATACGTACTGCATCGGCCATAGCTTTGCTGTTACCTCTGTTTTGCGTCATAGCGTACGTGAAGCATCTGTGGAGATATGTGATACAATTTTTCGTTAGCTCTTTATGGTTCTTCTGAATTCCGTAATAATCGTTTTTTAATTCCACCTGCAGTGTGATTGGTATCTGACTGTTTGATAATGGGATGATCGCTTGCAGCTCGGCATGCTGTAATAGTAGAGCTATCATCATCTCCTATTTAAACTCCAACCTCAACATTCCGAGACTTAAGTATAGAACTATCGACTATAAGTTTTTTGGCTACATAGGGTTCCATTGTTTTAGCAGAACCATCGAAATTTTTACGACAATCATGATCTGGTACTTCACTGTTTGTATCACATTTCTTGCATTTTCTATTGCATGTCAAATAATCCAAAATTATGCCGCTCGCTTTTCCAGTAATAGCTCCAAAGCCATTTAAACTGTCATAATTTCGTCCTGCACCTCTTGTATTCCATCTCATATCATATGAAACCATAATATGTATCACATCATTAAAAGTAACAGGTTCATGAAATGACTCTGACTCGTGTGATGATTCCAAATTAATAATAATAGATCCACTTTGTACTTGACGTTTGATGATAAAATTTGACTGGAATTCTGCTGGCCTAAATTGAAAGAAGGAAAATATGAGAAAGGAAAAATATACGTTTTTATTTTTTGTAAAAAAAAAACGCAATTCATGTTTATGTCTGTTTTAATATGATTACAAAATTTTCTTACACAAAAATATAATCACTATGCATTCATATAAAAATTATCAAGGTGTATATGTATGTATAATTGTGACATTTAATCGACAGATAATATGTTATTAAATATAAAAGACATATGTAGACTTGACGAACTTGAAAATATACAGTTGAAATTTTTTTGATTTACAATTTCCAATAATATTTCCTAATGTGCTAATTTTTTCAATAACCAATTAAATTAGTATATATTTTCTTTTAGTTTACTTGTACGATATTCATTTTAGTAATTCGAAAAATATGAACTAATGGAAATAAATATTTATTATTTAGAATGTTAGAACACATTCAAGGAATTAATTCATTAAATTCAAAAAGTCATAATATTCATTCATAACTATTGATGTAGCTATATTTCATATCATAAATTAAATCAGTACTACTATCTAATTAATACTCCCATATTTAACACATTTTGAATCTGATTGCTTTCATCTAGAAGAAGATTAATATATATTATATATTTATATATTAAGCTGAAACAGCGAAAATGTTTATTAAGTGAAAAGAACGACTGGGACGTGTTTTGACAATAGTCCATAATACGTTCTAGTCGTTTTTATCGCTTAATAAGCGTTTTTGCTTATTGAGCTTAATATTTACATCAAATTTAAAATTTAAAATTTGTTACATATGGGATCAGCTATAAATTAGACAATAATCTATATATATTCTATATATATTCGTGGTGTTTACAATTGTTGTTCTATGTTCTCAGCTTGCTCGAGAGTTAATTTATTTTCCAATGCTGTGGCTTCTTTGCAGCTTTCTTTTGCTACATTTTCTGCAGCTAATCCAATTTCTCGTTCGTACTTTTTGAATGTATTGAAATCAAAACATGGGATGTTCATGCATGCAAATAATTTTTTAAGATGTATCTATCCTAATCCAGAATATAGAATACCTGAAAAGTAATCAATTGAAAAAATATAATTAATAATTATAATAATAGAGTTTATAACAGGATGAAATCGACAACTTAAGATAAAAAAAATGTAATACCTAATGCTGCTTTTGAATTTACATCGAAGTGAGTACAACGTTTATCAGCTGAGAACTGTTGTTTGTCTGTTTCCACTATGTTGAAGAGAAGACATTTGTGACATCGCACTAACAACTGTGAAACAAAGCCTCGACGTTTTTCACTTTCAATATATTGCAAGGAAAGAGTTTCTTTGCAAGAGACACACCATAACTGCTTGCCAAGAGTTTGTAACTCAACGATGCGACGTCCATCCATTAAATCTTATTTCTCGCTTACATTTTCCTCTGTGTTAGGCCTAGCTTCTTCTTCTTCAATCTGAACATTTCTTCTTAAAAATCCACATTTTCGTTGTGCAAGTCTCTTCCGATATATCCTTTCAGTAACTATTTTGCCTTTCCACCGATAAGTTTTTATGGTTTTTGACAACGCGATGCAGGGAAAAATATATTGGGTGTACAACTTAGTTCGGTCCGTTTTCAAAAAATGGCTCTAGGTGCTATAAATGGTTGACGACGACAGCTGATTTTTGCTGTATCGTGAAGTGTCAACATCTGTCAACCAAATATTGTTTACAAGCCTTTGAGTTTTGCACAAGTTTAATTTTTACTGCGTTGAAAATGTCGAGTTTCGTTCCAAATAAGCACCATTTGCGGGAAGTTTTGATTTTCTGTTTCAATTGGAAGAAAAGTGCAGCTGAAGCGCATCGAATGCTTGTGGAAGTTTATGGTGAATCGTCGGATAAATCTTGCAGAGAATGGTTTCGACGATTTCAAAGTGGTGATTTTAGTGTTGAAGACAAAGAGCGTTCGGGTCAACCGAAAAAGTTTGAAGATGAAGAATTAGAAACATTACTCGATCAAGATTCGTGTCAAACGCAAAAAGAGCTCGCAAGAACATTGGAAGTTACTCAACAAGCTATTTCGAAACGACTCAAAGCCGCGGGATACATCCAAAAGCAAGGAAATTGGGTCCCATACGAATTGAAACCGAGAGATATCGAACGACGATTTTGCATGTCCGAAATGTTGCTTGAACGGTACAAAAAGAAGTCTTTTCTGCATCGAATCATTACCGGGGACGAAAAATGGATTCACTACGACAACCCGAAACGCAAAAAATCGTATGTAAAGCCCGGCCAACCGGGAACATCAACGCCGAAGCCGAATATCCATGATGCCAAGGTAATGCTCTGTATTTGGTGGGATCAGAAGGGTGTGATCCACTATGAGCTGCTAAAACCTGGTCAAACCATCACGGGAGACTTCTACAGGCGACAATTGATCCGTTTAAAGCGAGCTATAGCCGAAAAACGTCCAGAATATGCGACCAGACACGAGTCCATAATCTTTCACCATGACAACGCTCGGCCTCATGTTGCTGTTCCGGTTAAAAACTATTTGGAAAATAGCGGATGGGAAGTTCTGGCTCACCCGCCTTATAGCCCAGACCTTGCCCCTTCCGATTACCATTTGTTTCGATCGATGCAGAACGCTTTGACTGGAATATACTTCACTTCAGAACAGAGTATCAAAAATTGGCTCGATTCATTCTTAGCTTCAAAAGATGAACGCTTCTTCCGCGACGGAATCCATAAATTGCCAGAAAGATGGGAAAAAGTAGTGGCTAGCGATGGACAATACTTTCAATAATATATTAATTCATTTTATCATTCAAATAAATGCGTTTTTCAAGCAAAAAAACGGACCGAATTAAGTTGTACACCCAATATAATTATGCACGTATGTTTCTTAGCGTTTCGTCTAACTTTCAAAGTTCATTACTGCCAACCTACATAAACTACATGTTGCGTTGTTGCCACGTTCAATAGAGGATCAAATATTAATATTAATAACAAACAAATAACTATACATAATATTTACAGTTATTATTTCAATAATGCATATTTATCTTTTTTAACTATATTCGAATCACTTTTCTGTTTTACACTGATGAATAATTGTTAAATAATGTTCCACCTGCCACCTTGCGCGCTTTGATTAGCCTATTTTATTTATCAGGACCTTGAATAAGTTCTCGCTGTTTTCCAACAGATGGCGTTACCAGAACTGTGTGCGTATAGTTTAAGATGGTAACGCATCTATAAGGAAGTACTATAAGTAAGCTTGAAATTCAGTGTGTCGTTTTGCCGAAGTATAAACAACTTTTTTTTTTCATAATGTTAAACATGTCGAATTTCGTGCCAAAAAAAGAGTATTTGCGGGGAATTTTACTGCATTACTTTATTAAAAAAAAAATCTGAAGCTGAAGCACACAGAATTCTTGTTGAGACTTACGGCGACCATGCTCTGTCGGAAACAACATGCAGAGATTGGTTTAGACGCTTCAAAAATAATAATTTTGATGTTGAAGATAAAGAACGCTCTGGCGCACCGAAAAAGTTTGAAGACGAAGAATTGGAGGCATTACTTCATGAAGACTCATGTCAGACGCTAGCTGAACTTGCAGAATCATTAGAAGTTGATCACACAACAGTTTAGAAACGTTTGAAAATATTAGGAATGATTCCAAAGTAAGGACATTGGGTGCCGTACGAGTTGAAGCCGAAAGATGTCGAGCGGCGTCTTTTAACGTGTGAACAGCTGCTTCAACGGCAGAAAAGGAAAGGTTTTTTGCATCGTATCGTGACTGGCGATGAAAAGGAGATACACTACGACAACCCTAAGCGTAGAAGATCGTGGGGTAAGCCTGGCCATGCATCAACATCATCGGCAAAGCCGAATATCCATGGTTCGAAGCTTCTGCTCTGCATTTGGTGGGATCAGCTGGGTGTAGTTTATTATGAACTGCTCAAACCGAACGAAACCATCACGAGAGATCGCTATCGACTACAATTGATTGAGTCGAGCATTGAAGGAAAAACGGCCGCTATACGAGCAGAGACACGACAAAGTGATTTTGCAACATGACAACGCTCGGCCACATGTTGCATAACCGTTGAAAACCTACTTGGAAACACTTAAATGGGAAGTCCTACCTCACCCGCCGTATTTACCAGACATTGCTCTTTTCGATTATCACTTGTTCCGATCGATGGCACATGGCTGGCTGAGCGGCACTTTCATTCTTATGAAGATGCAAAAAAATGGGTCGACTCTTGGATAGCCTCAAAAGACGTGTCGTTTTTCCGACGTGGAATTCAAATACTGCCAGAAAGATAGGAAAAAGTAGTGGCTAGCGATGGACAATACTTTCAGTAACATGTTTTTTACGATTTTTTAAAATAAAGCATTAATTTTCACGAAAAATCAGAGAGAATTTATTCAAGGTCCTAATAATAACTCGAAATTTTACGTGGTTCGAAAAATGACTTCGACTATATTTTTCACTTTTATCTGTTCGATATATATTTTTCTTTTGGTACGTGTTATGCGGGACACTCTGTATATTTCTGACATATAAACGATGTTGTAAGAAATGCTGTCGAGACT